TGATACCTGTAGAAATTTGCAGACAAATCGCTGAAAACGTGAGAAGTTGCTTGAAACTTGATATTTTAGTGTTATTTTCTTTTCTTTTTTATGTAAATTTAAACACAAAGATATATACCATTTTTCAATGCTTAGAATATTGTTGCCACATATGGTCCAGTGGTCCTGCTATTTACCTTGAGCTCCTTGATAAAATCCAAAGAACGATCAGCAATATTATTGATCCTGATCTGGCAGCTCGGCTTCAGTCACTTTCCCACCGCCGTAAGGTTGCCACCCTGTGTCTTTTCTATAAATACTTTTATGGTAATTGTTCAAATGAACTCTTTGCTATGGTACCTAGACTTTTTTTTAAATTTAAGCGTAGTACTGGATGCTGAAAATACCATGGGTCGAATATGTGAGCAATGAAGAGGTTTTGGAGAGAATGGAAACAAAAAGGAAACTTATACTTAACATCAGGACGTTGAAATTTCTGGGGCAGGTAATGAGGAAAGAAGGCTAGAAAAATCTGATACTCACTGGACAGATAGAGGGAAAGAGGTGCAGACGTAAGAAAGGCGTAACATACTTGATAGGCTTGAGCAAATGGATAGCATAACAGGTTTTGGGAGGAATAACAAAGAGACAAAACTTAAGAGCTACAAGGGACAGGAAGATGTGGAGTGCCATTATTGCCTACGTTCTGAAGCGACACGGTGCATAAAAGAAGGCTAGATTAGCGGCAAGCTCTCATCATTTTACAGTTGAACTATTTTCTAAGCTAAGAGTTTCTTCCAACGTAATATTCGCTTGCTTCCGGTTTCTTGCTTCCCAGTTAAATTTGAACTTTAAAAATTTAAATGCAGTATCAGTCGTTATCTTCTGTTTTCATAAATCTGGTTCTTTTATTATTCTCTCTCATTAATAGTGTTTTTCTCTCTCATCTTCTCTAACACTCAGTAAGCCATTGTGTCTTTATTGCTTTGCTTGGGGTGAAATGACGACAATATGGCAGCAGCCTTAGTGTACGGACAGGATTTAACACCGTTCAAGTGAGAGGAATCGCTTACATAGTAAATTTTCTAGAAATTATCTGGGCAATAATATTAACAACATACTCGAAATATATGATTTCTAGACAGACAAAAGGGGGAAAATGGGACAGCCGGTGATTGATAATGACCATCTACAATAAGTTGGTTGGTTAATTTTTTAGCGGCATATCAACATCTCTATCGGTTGTTTAATGCCGAAATCTAAATATTTTCGTACGTAATTTTATGCTTTCAGTTAGAGATATATATCATTTTATACTTTAATGTATTGTTGCTAATTTTATTATAAATGAGTATTGTTTCTTGGTTGCTTTGCTTAGTGGTATATCAATCTCTATGGGTTATTTAGTGTCAAAATCTCGTACGCAATTATATGCTATCAATGACAGATATTCTGTAAATAATTTTATAGTTTCAGGATGAACGTATATTTTTTTTAGAGATATAATTTGTAGGTCATAAAATGTTTAATGCATTGCTTGTAATTTCACTAAAAATCTACTAATTGAATTTTTTTTATAAAAATCTATTTTTATGATTATTTTATCGTTATTTTAGGATTATTTTAGTGTTGCAATAAAAAAGGGGATGAGTAAAACATCAAATAAACAACAGAAACATTCCAAAACTTTTCAACATAAAAAAGCCGTGTCCTTCATGGCTCTCCACAACTTCCCATCCTTTGTAGCTCTAAGCATTGTTCGCCGCTTGGTAGGTATTTTAACAGACAACAAAAAATGTGAGACCAAAAGGCGAAGGCGCAATGCAATAGTGAAAGATGCCTTACAAAAGCTAAGCAAAGTATTAAGAAACAGGAAAATTTTGTGAGAAACAAAGAAACGGCTACTGAAATGATATGTAATATCAATCCTCCTACGAACAGGTGAAGGATAAAAAAAAGATATAGTTGTCCAGAATGATACTGAGAAAACTATGGATAAAGGAAGCAACAAAAAGGAAAATTGAAATTGAAAAAAGGAAACTTATATTTAGAATCAGAAAGTGATAGTTAAATGTTCTGGGATGCAAGGAAAGAAGGTTTGGAGAATTTAACACTCACAAGAGAGACAAAATGAAAAATCGAGTAATTTTTCTAACGAGTTTGTGTAAATCGATGGCAGATTAGGGATGGGAGGGATCGTAAGAAAACAAATATTGATTAGTGCCACAATGGATAGGAAATTGTGAAGAGTCATATTCACGCACGGCCTGAAGGGACATGGCGCATAACAAGAATTGTATATCTTATGTGGAGAATTTTGAAGTTTGCCTTCGCGAAATGGCAAATAAATATATATGATTTGAAGAATCTTCCATAAATCAATTTAGTTTTCAATATTCACTTGATTCCAGGAGTTGTGAAATGAGTCGTATCTAAAGCAGACAAACGACGCCATCTTGCGTGCATTTTCGGAATATTGTTGAGTTGTATGTCCGCAGCTCACGAAGAATTTATTGGTAAATCGTCTGGATATTGGGCGAAACCAAAACTAAATCGGTAAATGACTTCTCCCTTTTAAAAGTCCATTTTTTAAAAAACGTTAATTCTCGGTTTTTTAAAACCGAGAATTAACTTTTGTTTATAAATTTATCAAAATGGCCGATATTTGTCGATTATTATCAATTTTCTGAAAGCAGCCAAAAAGTTAAAATTCCAATCAATATAATTTCTATTTGAAATACACCAGATTATTTTGCTTAGTGGAGATAAAAAAATTTAATCTTTTAACTTTCAATTAAGCGAAAAAGAAAGCTTCAAGAATGCATTTTCATTTTTTTAAATTAATTTTAAAATGTAGATATCGAAAATTTCGTCAAGGGCCCTACTTTTAGCCTATTTATTTTTTTATTTATCTTCCAATATATATATATATATATATATATATATATATCTGTGACACGTTATAAGAGCTTTTCTAATTAAATAATGTCATAGTTTTATTGTATTTTTTATTTTATGATTCGGAGCAGATTTTGGGAAAATGTGTAGTAGTTTAAAAAAAAAATGATGGCTTAAACATTTTCCATGGAGTCCTGCTTTTAACTTATAAAAAAATTTCGAGATTGAAAATTAATTTCTCGAAATTTCATCAAATTAAGTTTGTATGTGGGAAACATGTGCAGAAAAAAGATATTTTTTCCCAAGATTTTCTAAAAAAATTCAAAAATAATTTAATTCATTTTTGCAAAAATTTATTTCACTTGAAAATAAGTCTCAAATATTACGTCGACCGCTGACTAAAAAAAAAAAAAAAATCACCAAAATTTCGTACGGTGCGATAAAGTATTAAAAACTTTAATAAATAATCAGAAAAAAAAAACTTTGGTCTTTCCTCTTAATAATAAGAAAAACATTTTGACGATGAAACTTTGTTTTTATTAAGTTTGGAGACTTTTTTTCGTCATGCTATGCTGTTATTTCAGCGATAAAGTGTAGGCGCTAAGTTCAAAGTTAACTGCACAAAAGGATTTCCCCGGAAGGAGGTTTTTCTTTAAGTTGTTATTTTTCAATTGGTAAGAAGAAAGGTAAATAATACAGGAAAAGAAAAACATTGTTGGGAAAAGGAACGGATTGTATTCAAGGAAAAATAAGGGACCAAAAGAATTTCTAAGTGTGCAGCACTCTGCATATTTTGGGGGTAAGACGAAAAATTATTAGGAAAATAAGGTTGTTAAGGTGGCTTCTCTTAATGGCTTAGTGAAACAAATGGCAATCCTGAAGACAAATATGATAAATATATAAGACTGTAAAGGATAGATTAGATAAATGGATAGATAGATAGATAGATAAGAATAGACTTAAATAGATAAATAAGAAAAGACTGATAGATAAAAAAGACTGTATATATATATATATATATATATATATATATATATATAATTATTTATTTAAAAATATGATTCCAAATCGCGACATAAGAGGTCTCATGTTTCAAAACAAGAGCCGAAAACTTCAATATAATTATTTGAATTAAATTGAGTTAAAGTAAGCTCTGTTCCATCTTCAAGCGAAATTTTTTTTTTGAATAACGTATTTCTGAAATTTACTTGTTTTAATAATTAAAATCAAAATTTCCATGGTAACAGCTAGGGCGAATTGTTTAAATTGGGTAGGCGTGTGTTGGGTGTTAATAATAAGTATCAGTATAGAGTTACTTTCATAGATGTCAAGTCAGGAAAAAGTGGGGGTGTCTAAATTTGGAACGGAAGCTGTATAAACCCTAGTCTGATTTGCGTGTCTATGGAGATTTATTTATTTTTTTATTTTATTTTTTTATGAAAGGGATTTGTGCATATAAAAAAAAACTGCCGTAACGTTTGTTTTTTGACGACTTCATAAAGGGTTTAAAGTAAAATAGAAAATTATAAACAGGGCTAGAACATGTAAAACTTGGGATGATCCATGCCCTTTGTGCCTTCATGAGAAATTGCACATTATTAAGCTTCTAAATAATAATAATCTCTTAAACAATAGACATGAGTTAACGGTTTTTTGTCGACATCATCAGATTCATGGTTTGAATAATTAGCTAAAAACAAGCATACAATATAATAACTTTCATAATCCATAGCCCAAATAAATAGTTTAAATACCCTACAAAAAAGATAACCCTTTATGAAGTCGAATTTTGATTTCAATTATTAAAACACGTAAATATTAGAAATACGTTATTCCAAAAAAAAAAAAAATTCGCTTGAAGATGGAACAGAGCTTACTTTAAGTCAATTTAATTCAAATAATTATATTGAAGTTTTCGGCTCTTGTTTTGAAACATGAGGCCTCTTATGTCGCGAGTTGGAATCATATTTTTTAAATAAATAATTATATTTATGCTCTACTTTTGTATCGAGCACTATTTTTAAAAAATAATAACTAAAATACTAAGGAACTTTGGATTAGTTCCTATTTTATATATTTATATATATATATATATATATATATATATATATATATATATAGAGTTATAGATAGATAGATAGATAGATAAATAGATAGATAAATAGATAGATAGATAGATAAAAATTAAATAGATAAGAATAAACTAGAAACGAATAAAAATAGATAGAGTGAGATTGATTGATTGGAAAAGACTTTGTACTGGTCAGCCTTGTTTCTACTTTGGTTGGTTGACCCATAATTCATAGCGGTCAATGAGTTTAAGGGAGATTTTGGTATTTACCTGTATATACGATTAAGACATTCTATTGTGTGGTAAAGAGGTTAAATTGCAAAAAGGGAGAATTTGGTATTCTCTTGCATATACGAGTAAGGCACTATTTTTTAGTGAAGAGGTTAAATTTTGAAAGGGAGAATTTAGTGTTTGCTTGCACTGTGGACAAATCACTTAATCACGATAGGCTTGAGAAAAAAAAACTGTTTGAAAATGCACACTATATACAAATGAATTATATTTACATTCTTCGGACTATTGTCTGACTGTTGCCTTCTTCTTTGTTGCCATATTCACGACATTTCGGGCGTTGTACGGCACAGCCTTCTTCAGGTGATTAGAATTTCGAACTGAACACTTTATTTCGTCCACTGGGGAAGATTGTTCTAGTTCTTCTGGACGTCTCAGTTGTCTCCCTTTAACTCAGCTCTCCTCAGCTGCAGCCAGGTATTGAACTCACATCACTTTTTGGTCAACTCTCTGTATTTAACCAATCCTTTATGTCCCTAAAATTCATACACTGATGTCCTCAATGACTCATGGCCAAGTGGATAAAAGCGTTGGTTGAATCCAGTGAATTGACCCAGAGTTGTGAGTTCAATACCTGAGTTAAAGGGAGATAACTGATACTGAGACGTCCGGATGAGGCATGGCACGTGGAACTAGAACAGTCTATCCCGGTGGATAGAATAAAGAGTTCAGTTTGAAATTCTAATCACCTGAAGAAAACCGGAGAGTACAACGGTCGAAACGTCGTGAATATGGTACCAAAGATGAGGACAACAGTTCGAACAATGTAAATAATTACAATACCTTATCTCAGAAATATAGACACAAATTAATAAAACAATAAAGTTTGACAGCGAAAGTATGAAGCATCTGATTGAATATGGCGTTAAGTTCGTCTTTCTTTTCGGCTCATTCTTGTTTTTCGTTTTACTTTTTCCTGACGAAGGATAGACGAAACAATTCATTGAACCAATGTCTGGTCGAAATTATTGAAAGTTGTCGAGCTGCTGCTGATTATCCTTCCATTGATTTATTTTTGTTTTTGTTTCAGATGCCAAACATTGCGCAAAGTTCATTTTCTGTTTTATTGCGTTGTCAAATAAATCTTGATTAGAATTTATTTTTGCCGGATCTCTTTATTATTGCGATTTTAATATTCCTTTGTCCAAAATTGCGTTTCAGACATTTTTGGTTAATGATTCGTTCGTACAAAACAAAACAATTAATTCGGTTACCCAGCACGCCTCTGTAGCTAGAACATTGCCCAGAAGCTGATAGGTTCCGTTTCGTTATCAGGCTTTTGAAGCATACGACAAATTACGAAAGATTTTTTTAAAACTCCACGTCTTCCTAGACTGAAATCATGAAACCACATTAAAACCAAAAAAAAAAATTTAAATTTTGGTCTCTCTCTCTATATATATATATATATATATATATATATATATATATATATATATATATATATATATATATAGTTTTAAAGTATGCTTTATTTATGGTTTAAAATTGCTCAATATAAGGGATAGAGCGTAAATATAAAAATAGACATTGAAGTCAACACCCAGAGGCGATAGTTTGTTTGTGCGTGACCATATCTATCGCTTTTCACCCTGTTATTGTCAATGGTAGTTTTTGCACTCCTCAAAGCTTACAATTGGTAGATCGTCTAATACGATGTGTCTAGGGGTTTTGTGGTGTGACGGTGGTGACTTTTCAGACCCTTGTTTCTTTTACTGAAATTGAATATCTCAGTGTCATATCCCTTTAAAACGGAGTCGATCATGGCTCTCCACATATTCCTTTACTTTATTATCTGTAATTATATTGGAAAATATAGTGAAGAGTTTACCAGTTGCCTTCCTTACGGTTTGGAATTCAGAGATTTTCTTCTGTTAGACTGATTGCATTCTAAGCCTCACAACAACGTCTACCGTGTTATTTAACCCATAGATTAAAAAAAAAAACATTAATATGGAAGTTAATGCAATAGCATCGGGTGGAATTTGAATTTGTTTCACTGTTTCTAATTTCCGCTCTGATACATTTTCTTTAATTTCACATCCCAAAAAGGTTATGTCACTTCGTGATGTGAGCACTGACGTCTCTTCATTCATTTTTCGATATTTATCTTGGAAATGCTATGTCTGCTTGGGAAAGATAGTGGACTAGCACATACTGTCTTCTCTAAAAGGACTTTTTTGCACAAAGAAATACCAAATCTCATTTACGGTTTGGAATTTAAATGTTTACTCACAGATGTGGTGTCAAAAAAAGAAAACATTTAAATCCGCATTGTCCGGAACCTAAACTTAATCCTCAGATTCATCTTTCTTCGCCAACGTCGCCTACGCTATGCGCAAGTCTGTTGTCTAATATTTAGATAAAAATATGGATGAGAAACAAAGATTGGAAGGATGAAGGGATGGAATGGGAAGACCAACAGGTAAAATGACAAGAAAAAATCGAGTTGATCTCAATGTCAATTCATTTTCTTTTTATAGACGATAATGTTGATTGTCAAAAGACTTGGACATTTACTCACAGAATGTGGTGTCAAAAATTAGCTAAAGAAAATGGCTGAAAAATTAAAATAATAAAGTTTAGAATTTCAGTAAGGTTAGTTACCCTGTCGATTGGGGTCAAGAATCCGTAGACACCATTTTTGTGTAGAGGGTTAATCCCATCAAAATAGAGGCTACCTATGCCCACCTCTTTGACTCACGGGCAAACCACAACTATGTCTACCTTTTTGACCTCTACTCCTGTTCAAAAACAGTGGAAGGATGTAAACCGGACGATAGAAAAATATAAAAAGAAATTTAAGTTAAATTTATTTAAATATTAATCATCAAGTGAAGGCCAATAAAAAAACCAAAATCAACGTGTTGCTTACACCAAGATTGAACCACCGACTTAATAAATATTTAGAATGATTTGGTACTTTCTGAAAACACCTCATATCGTAGCCCTGTCCAATAAGAAATCTTGTAAACTCAATTTGTCAAGGTTTCACAGCGCATTATTAACGATGCTATATTGAAAAGAGAAGACCTAAAGTGATTCCTTCAAATGAATAGGTAAAAATTCACGACTTAATAACGATGGAAAACGAATGATGCCGAAGTTGCTATGATCTATGGTAAAAACGTATCTTCGTGCCACTAGTAAATTTTAATTTCGTTTGATATATTTTCTGCTAACTTTCACTAAATTTGTTAGATTTCTATTAATGGAAGACACATTTGGTCATGATCTAAATCTTGATCGTTGCATTCAAATTACTCTCGACTTAGATTAAGCCTGAACACTTCCCGAGGATTCGGTATCAAAATTTAATCTGCTCTTTACTGAAAAGGCGAATAATTGAATAAACTCTTGTGATACAGCGTAAGTGCAGAAACACTGAAACGCAGTCATTTGATAAAAGTTCATTCTCAACTTTAAGCATTGTCATCGATCAAAAGAAACGGATTTGACTTGGTCGGTAAAGTATTGCCGTTTCCCCACGAGCGCTGTACTTATGTAGATATATGGTGGAATAGACGAAATGGATTTTAAAAAATTCCAGTGAATTAACTTTCCCGTATTCAGATATAAGTAAAATTGTGATGGTATGCGCATCAATGTCATACAAGCTAGAAGAGAGAGAAATGTTTGAAAATAAGGAATATAATGCCAAGTACTATTGCGAATCGTAATGAATTATGATCATGGTGGTGTTGAATTGGAAAGAAATAAAATAGTTAAATAATTGACAACTATGGAAATGAATCGTGCAACGGATAAGGAAAAATTGAGCACAGTGAACGAATGAGGAATAAGAAACATCTGGCGCACAGCGAAAGTCGAAGAAATAATTAACATCTGGTATAAAGCGAACCGCCAAGGAATGATCAACATCTGGTATACAGCGAGCGATCAAGGAATAATAAACACCTGGTGTATAGCAAACGACCAAGGAATGATCAACACCTGGTATACAGTGAGCAACCAAGGAAGAATGATCAACACCTGGTATACAGTGAACGACCAAGGACTGATCAACACCTGTTGTATAGTGAACGATCAAGTAATGATCAACACCGGGAATACAGCGAAACACCAAGAAAAATCAACACCTGGCGTATAGTGAACAAGCAAGGAATGATCAATACCTGGTTTATAGCGAAGATCTAAGGAATGATCAACACCTGGTATAGAGTGAACAACCAAGGAATGATCAATAACTGGTGTATAGCAAACGTCCAAGGAATGACCAACACTTGGTATACAGGGAACCACAAAGGAAAAAAATCAACACCAGGCGTATAGGGAACAAGCAAGGAATGATCAACACATGGTTTATGGCGAACGACCAAGGAATGACCAAGACCTGGTATACAATGACCAACCAAGGAATGATCATCACCTGGTGTTTAGAAAACGACCAAGGAATGACCAATATCTGCTATACAGCGAACCACATGGAATGATCAACACCTGGTATATAGCGAATGACCAAAGAATGACAAACACATGGTGCATAACGAATAACCAAGGAATGATCAACACCTGGTATACAGTGAATGACCAAGGAATGACCAACACCTGGTTTCCAGCTAACGACCAAGCAATGATCAACTCCTGGTATATAGCGAACCACCAAGGAATTATCAACACCTGGTATACAGCGAACGACCAACGAATGACTTACACCTGGTATACAGCGAACGATCAAGAAATGATCAAAACCTGGTGTATAGCGAACAACCAAGGAATGATAAACACCTGCTTTATAGGGAACAATTAAGAATGATCAACACCTGGTATACAACGACCGTTCAAGGGATGTTCAACACCTGGAATACAGCGAATGACCAAGAACTGATCAACACTTGGTGTATAGTGAACGACCAAGGAATGACCAACACCTAGTATATAGCAAAGGACCAAGGAATGAACAACACCTGGTATACAGCAAACGTCCAAGTAATTATCAACACGTGTTATACAATGAACAAGCAAGGAATGATCAACACCTGGTATACAGTGAACGACCAAGGAATGATCAACACCTGGTGTATAGCAAACGACCAAGCAATGACCAACACCTGGTATACAGCGAATCACCAAGGAATGATCACCACATGGTATACAGCTAGCGACCAAGTATTGATCAACACCTGGTTTATAGCGAACGGTCAAGGAATGACCAACACATGGTTCACAGTAAACTTCTAAGGAATGACGAACACCTGCTGTTTAACGAACGACAATATTGTAGTGGGTTGCATGTAATACGCCAAGGGATTCAATTGAGCCTTTTTAGTTCGCCCGGAGACTAACAGCTCAGTTTTGAGGAGAAATAAAACAAGGATTGTCACTACAGCATGCTGTAGTTGAAGAACGAAAGCATAAATAGAGAGGGAAACAGAGAAAGAGAGAAAGAGAGAGAGAAGGGGCATTTGAGTCTTTTGCTTTTATACAGGCTGCGGCAGAAATACCGTCTACATTTACTCACCCCCTAGAAAACCCTCCCACATAATGGTAAGACATTTACTACAGAGCACAGCAAAAATACCTCACGAATTTTAAACTGCCACCTGCATATTGCTAGAAAATTTAGGCAAATGGCAAAGATGTCTTTCACCTTATGTGGGAGGTATTTCCGCCACACCTTGTAGCGAATATCTTACAATTATGTGGGAGATATTTCTGGGAGGTATATGTGGGAGGTATATCTGCCGCAACCTGTAAAACGTCACCTAGCGATCTTTAATTGAAGTCCCTTGGCAGACCCGGTGAGGGTAATACGACAATTACGTTGCATGTTGTAGAATCGAGCAGTGGTCTTTTAAATCTATTTCGAACTCACTCAATATTATCGTTGTTGATTTGTTTACCGCAGTTCAAATCTGTAGATTTGGATTATTCATATCTTTTTGGTGGACTATTAATTCATGTCTCAGACATTTCATAACTGCTTCTTTGTTCATTACTAATTGTTGAAATCTGTCAAAGTTTTTAAACCTTCCTGTCTATCATAGAATATTCATATTTCTCTGTCGATATTAGACGGCTCAAATGTTTGGCTATCTCAGACGCGGATTGACATTTTAGGTTACAAGTACCGAATTGTGTTAGATTTGAAAGCCCGGAGCTACGATAACTCTATCGCTGTTACAAAAACAGGAAACTAAATCTCTCATATACAAAATTATTGTTTATTTAACTCCGGACTTCGTCAATTAATATCGGCGAGTATGTATGTATTTGGGGTTTTTACTGAACGTAGATTCTACATTCTCGCGAGTACGTAAAAGAGTACCCACTACTTCTCTCGTTGGATGTGTATATATCCTCCACGATCGGCTGTTCCACGTGTTGTTGGGTCGGCTACCCGTTTATATAACGGGTGCAGCCATTGACATGGTGAATGTACGGAACATCACCTGGAGGCTAAGAGGTTATCTCTCAGATGAACCTGCTGATGCACCGAGTTTCTTTGATGGACACTAAGTGCAAACTCTATGGTGAGCTATATACTTTACTACTCTATGATATATTGAGTTCCTCATTAAGGGACAAGTTGGTCTAGCATATAAAAAAATGTTGTTGCAAAGACACAAGTAGCAAATTTTAAATGGATTTTCAAAAATTAAGTGTGGATCTTTTAGAAAAAGCTCAATGTGGCTTAAGTATCGTAGACTATTCAGATTTGTTCAATTCTCGAAGAATTCAATAGAATTTTAAAATCTTTTTATCTGTACATGTATCAAATGGAAAGGCTATTTTCATATTTTATGTTATTCAAATTCTCTTCGTTTACATATAAACGATATCTATACATATATCAATGGCAGTTTTCTGTATGCGCGTGCGTGTATGTGCGCGCACGCACGTGTGTATATGTGTCCGCCTAAAACTGAAAAAAAAAACTACAATATTTATGACAAAGTAAATATATATACCGACTTACTGTCACCGAAGCCAGCTTTTTTGTAAAAAATTATCATTGTATGATTTGTATTTACGAAGATGTTTTAAAATTAAAATGCATTAGAATGCATTCGAAATTCTCAGAATTAAAAATTAAAAACGAACGGTAAGAATTCTTATTCCATTCATTTTTACTTTTTTAAACTGCTAAATTCTACACATATATGTATTTTTCACATTTCTATTCTTTTGAGTTTATTTTCAAATCTATAGTAAATAAAAGTATAACTTTAAAAAAATGAATATTAAAACAACGAAGTAAATTTAAAGGAAGAAGAATATTCAATACAATTATTTAACAAATAGTTTAATATTTATTTATTCAAATATTCGTGCGTGTGTATGTGTGTGTATGTCCGGATACGAAAGAAATATATAGACTCATTATGACACTGAAGGGCAGTTGTTTCTATCTGTGTGTGTATGTGTGTGTGTGTGCATTAATATTATTGATATTTTTACGCTATCTTATGGAAAAATCATTTTTTTATTCAATCTTTAAAAAAATAAACTTCATTATTTTTTTGTTTTTTAATTAACATAAAAATAATAATAAAAATGTTTCTACTCTTTCAAAATAGTAATTAATGTTTAAAAGTAAAATTTTATTTATTTATAAAAATCTAAATTCCCCTCCAAAATAAATAGTAAATAATTATTTTTTTGAAGAAGTAAGGCCCGCTATAGATTTTGCTCGAAATAATGATTAAATTAAATATGTTTAAATAGATCTTAATTTAAGTTCATTAACTTTTTTATGAATAATAATTTAAAAAAAAAAGGTTAATGAACTTTTATCTAAGTTTGATTTGTTTGAAAACAACATTAAAAGAATATTTATGTTAGTATTTAAATCGAAAAATCAAGTGTCTTTTTGAATAAAAATATGGGGATGTTCAGGCCCACCAAGCCTCCTAGCCCGAGCGTGGTATTTGTAGTGCGGTATTTTCCTAAATTTAGTTATTTTGCACCCCCCACCCCAGAAAAAAATCAATGAAGTTTATTTTTAAAGATTGAATAAAAATTTATTTTCCATAAGATGTCCGAAAAATATACATAAATTGTCAATAATAAACTATTATTCAGAGATCGCTAGTATACATATATATTATAATGATTTTCATCTTATACAAGACCCAAGAGCCAATCGAAGTAAGAGGTGTGGATATGTGGGGAAGATAATGGTTGACCTTAGACTTGAACAGGTTAAGATTATCCTGATCGGGGAAGCATCTTCTCAGGAGTCGGTTCCACAAAGTAGCGGTTGGTGGGAAGAAGCTGTTCGAGTGGAACTTACTTCTCGCCAATGGAATACAAAGGAAATGGTGGGGGGAGGGTTCGATAGAATGGGAGTAGCATGGCGAATGTTAGACGAAGGTTAGAACTGGTGTAATTAATATGAACACTTTTCACGGAAACATTGATTGACCTTCCTCGTTTCGTCTGAAAGAAAGGGATTGTAGGGTGGATAATATTTCGCCATTGAAAAGAGACGGAGACATTTTAGAGTCTATCGATGTATAGCAGGAGGAGTCCATTTTCGGCCTGAGAGCAGGAGGAGTCCATTTTCGGCCTGAGAGCAGGAGGAGTCAGCTACTTACTGGAGCGATTCAGGGAATCCGTCCATTTTTCCAGCATTTTTGGCTTTGACTATTTAGACCTCTCTGTTTGTCTATAGATGCTTTAGGCAGAAAAGAAGAAGAACCCGTTTGTCTGGTGAAAATCTTGGATGAAATATCCTCTAGAAATGATAGGAATATTATTGCCGGAAAAACAAACAGGTCAAAGAGCTTTCAATCAAAATAAAGGTCGGAGGTCAAGAACTAATTAGTGAGCTAATTCAAATATATTGGCCTAAATTATCAGAGAAGAGGGTCCCAGAATAAAAATAATTTCAAGTGTATAACAAACAATGGTAGTTGTCCAAAAACTAAGAACAAAATTGGTTACTTGCTGCTACACCGTTTTTCAATTATATCTTGTATCCCATCCATCGTAAACAATTTAACAGTAACCCTTTACTTAGAGTGATTCTTGAGCCTTCTTTTGGATGAATTTTTGTATATAAAAAACTCTAAAACTAAGACTAAATACATTTGAAATTAAAAGATAGACGTAACTACTTGAAGGGACTAAAACTATTTTTGACGATCAAAGAAGCTTAGGTTTACCTTTTAAGGACCATGTGAAGTTCTCGTCTTGGATTTGTGCTGTCTGAAATCAATTATAGTCAGGGAAAGAAACTTAGCTTTTTTGTTTTGTTGATATACGAAGCGAAGTGTTCAATTCAGAAGCAGTATTTTTCAACGTGACCACACCCCCGTCTCCGATCGCCGTAAATCAAAAACTGCTTAAGACTTTTTGTTAATTAGAGAAGAATTTAAATTTGGAAAAATCGACGCCAATGCTATTTTTGGTTGGGACCTTGAAACCATAGCCAAATGTTGCACTGTATAAAAGCCAGAAATAATTTAAGATATTTTAGTGCTTTCTTTCGAAATGTGATGCACGAACCTTAGATGTCTATTAAAGACCAGCATCTAAAATATTAGGAGTCCCACTTTGAATTAATGAATAGGTGGAACTTAGCATATAGGATGGAGTTGAACATATTGATTTTAGAGAAGCAAAAATAATAATGAGTTTGGTATGGGAATACATGGTAAATGAATTTAGTACTGGAATGCAGTATAAATATTTTAAATATAGGAAGGATTTGTTAGTAAATTTACTATAGAAATTGTAAATAATTTTCTAATAGGAACGTATCGTAAATTGTTTTATAAAAGCAGGCATTATGAATTATTTTAGTATTATTGTAAATGATTCCTCTATGGTAATGTGTTGACAATGATTTTTAAAATAGGAATACATTGTAAATTATTTTAATACAGGAATGTACTGAAAATGATTTTACTATAAGAGTGCATTGTAAATGATTCTACTATAATAATGTATTGTAATTAATTTTATTATAGGAAAACATTGTAAATGATCTTAATACTGAAATGTATTGAAACTGATTTTACTATATAAATATATTATAAGTGACTTTACTCTTGACTTATATTGTAAATGGTTTTCTATATGAATGAAACGTAAATGATTGTAAATGATTCAAAGATGGACTTCTTTCTATTAATCATCTGATTGCCTCTTTCTACCTCCTGCTATACATCGATAGACTCTGTTCAGCATGGTTGATTCTAACCTCAAGGAGAGTGACTCGTGCTTTCTCGGGCTACCATTCTCGACTGACACAAAGTTCAAATGTTATAATCAATTAATTGCTAGGTCAGCAGTTAAGAAAGTTGGTTCACTGTGTCATGCTAGACAATTTTCCTCACCAGAATTTATCTTAAGTCGGCAATTTGTCCATGCTTTGAATATTAGTGCCAAATATGGTCCAGTATTCCTGCTATATATTTAGAGAATCTTGATAAAATCCTAAGAAAAATCTACAATATTATTGGTCTTGACCTGGCGTCTCGGAGTTTCTATGTGATATTTTCATATTTGCTTTCAGGTTAACTGTTCGCATGCCATGGCACCTAAATATGAATATAAACGCAGTACTAGATTAGCAACAGAGTCTCATCCACTTACAGTTGATTTGGCCAGTTGCAACGTAAGTCCTATGCTGATAGTTTCTTCCATTGACCTTTATGTTTGTGAAACTCTCTTCCGGTTTCTTGCTTCAAAACTTTAAATGCAATGTCAATCGTTATCGTCTGTCTTCTTAAATCTTTTGTTCTTTTATTGTTCTCTTCTCCTTCATAAAGTTTCTCTTTTTTCCTTATTCTTTCACACTCAGTAACCACTTGTGTCTTA